CGGGAGAGGGAGAAGCAGGCTTCCCGCTGAGCAGGAAGCCCGATGCGGGGCTCGATCCCAGGACCCTGGGATCATGACCTGAGCCGAAGGCAGACACTTAACGACTGAGCCACTCAGGTGTCCCAAAATGTCATTATATTTATAGTTTGCAACTTTACTACAGAAAATATACAGTATATGAAGGATTTCCTCTAACTGTATGATTCTAAATAGTCTTATATAAAACACTGTACAATAACATTCTTTTAATGAAGATTAAAAAATCATTAAGGAAATATTACAAAGGGAACAAAAACAACAAGAACAAAATTACATTGTTTTGATACTTCGTGAGACATAATTTGATTTTTCTATAAGCTTAGCTGAACAACTATACAGTAGTATTTAAATAAATCCATCTGCTTTATACAAAAGAAACACCCTAACACAGTAGAGTCTCATAATGTCTTGGTGAACACCAATTTGATGCTTTAGGATTTTAATGTGTTAACAAATTTTCAAACTCAGGCAAGTTTTGAAATGTCTTCATATTGAATTCCTTCAACTCTGCGTCCTTTTAAAGGGCCCTACATGTTAAAACAATAGGAAAAAAAAAAAGATTAAAAACACACAGGGACTTAAAAGACAAGAAAATGACACTACACTTAGAGATCCAAATGCGCCTTTTCCATACCCCTGTAACCCCAGTACGGTAGCTAACGTTTCTCTGCGACTCTGAATTTTAAACTTTTCTAGGGCATCCTCATCACGAAGTGCAGTGACTTCTTCAATGACATGTGAAATGTGTCATCATTACATGCTGTGGCAGGGACCTGCTGGCTGCTCCGTGTGTCCTCTGATCCCAGGATGCTTTTTCCCCGGTTCCCCGCGTGGGGAGGTGTGGTCATAAGATGGAGCCCCGGCCACAGAGGGGAACGGAAGTGACGCACACGGTCCTCGCGTGCGGCCCACCTTGCTCAGCCTTGGCGTGTGTGAAGCACACGGCAGCTGTAAAAGCCACTTGTTGAAGGTGGTGGAGACACGAGCTGTAAAAATCCTGGGCTCACACATCGCCCCTCCGAGAAGAGCTGATCAAGCTCCCATCTTGATCTTCCTGATCAAGAACACCCATCCTGGACTTTCAGAAGGAGAAGTTAAATTTTACCGTGTTTGTGCCATTTGGGGGTTTCTTTTTCAAGAGCAGATAGTATGTTAAGCAATTCAGATCCTCAAACATGTCTGTCTAGTTTAGCTCTGACAGCTCGGCTGGTCTTTATTACCGAAAATGAGCCCAACTTCAAATGTATTTGCTTTTTCTGTTCGTATCCAAAAGAAAGGAAAAGGGTTAAACTAGATACTGGGAAAGAACACCTGTCACAAAAGTGGATACAGCCTGGGAACAGAGAGGCACGAATGTGGGTCCTGAGCCCAGACTGACCAAGTTCAGATCCCACCTGCACAAGTGACTTGAGCCTTCGGTGCCCCACTATCCCCGAGGGGGAGATTAATAATAGGACCTAGGTTCCTGGGCTGTTGGGAAATAGAAACAAGTCAATAAAGTGCTTAAAACAATATCTGGAACATGATAGGAATATGAGCTCAATAATTCTTGGCTCTTATTAAATCTTTTGGTTAAAATTTGAAAGCTGGTCCTCTCTCTTGCAAAGTATAAAATGACGATGATGATGATGAGGACTCTAACCTTGAAGTGAGGTTTCAGTGTTTTTCATTGTGAATCATACCTCCCCTTAACAATCCTTTTTAAAATGCTACTCCTTTAATATATAACAATGACTGTATTTAAAGGAAGTAAGTTCCCAGATGAAGCATGACAAAGGGCTGAATCTTTCATTATCAAGTACAAAGGCCTGTGGTCAAGTTCGCTTTTCTCTCTCTCTCTCTTTTTTTTTTACAAAGCTGGGGAATGGGAAGGGAGCCAGTCCCTCAGTTAATTAGGCAAACAGGCTAAAAGGCTAAGACAGTTTTTGAACAATTTGTTAGCTACTTAAAAATCTGCTTAATAAATGAGTAAATTTCAAATATTTTGATACTGATCTACAATTTCAGATGTCAGAAATGATAAAAAATAGCAGGAGAAATCCCTTAGAAAGTTTGTGTGTTTCATGGCAATGATGTGAAGGAACCATGGGGACGCAGACGAGTGGACACAGGCTCACACAAACAGATTATTTTTTGCATGTCATCCTTGCGCAGGGGCCATGCTAATCTTCTCTGTATTGTCCCAATTTTAGCATATGTGCTGCCGTAGCGGGCACAAAAGATTATTTTTTAAATGGGGGCAAGCTGCAAAAGAAAAGAAAAGTAGTAGGTGGATTTCTCCTTTGAAACGTACATGCTGCTTTGCAGTCAAGAAGGCCTTCCATGCGGGGCCCTCCCAGGCCCTGCCTCACTGCAGTGCTGTGTGCCACACAAGCTTAGGAAGGAGGAGCCGCCCGGGTCACAGCGAGGGAGGAAAGGAACAGGCCCATGAAAACCACACACTGACCCAAAGGGATCTGGACGGAACCTAGAATGCCCTCCGCAGTGATTAGCTGTTTTGCATTTCCCTGAGATGAAAGCATGAATTGAAGCAGGATCTAATTTGGATAGGACTATGCATTTAAAAAAGTGCAGGAGAATCATTTCGCCAAGGAACTATGAGATGTTCCATGACCTTATGCTGGCTGAGAGAAAAACTTACTGAGTTTTTAAAAAAAACTCAATCTATGAATTCAGTCAGATCGGTACATTTCTCAGTACCAGGAGAGACGCCTTTTCCTTTCCTTCCCTTATGGTTTATGTTCGTGAATGCCAGTTTTTAAGTTCGTGTTGTCAGAGACAGAAAAAAAAAATGCTCAATTTACTTAAATGTGGTTTCTCTCATATAAGGACCTACACCATTTTCCAAACGCAGTCCAGTGTTGGGTTCAGATGCCTACAACCCCTTAACGCAACGCATGAAACTGGGCAGTTACCTGTCCGTTCTAGAGAGTGCTCAGGACGGTCATCAGACTCTCCGAGGGGTCTATTAACCCCCCAAATGCTAATGCTACGGTACTGGGTATGAAAACTGATTTCATTTGGAGGCACAGCACAGTCGTTTGCTGTTCCAAAATGCATTAGGTGGCAGGGGGGAAAAGCCCGCTTTAGGCCCTTCCTTCCCTCAGGAGACGTCTCAGGCCTTACAGGGCCATGCTGCCAGGCCTGTCAGTGAGCCATCCCTTCTGTCAATCAACACTTTGAACTGCACATCAGATTTCCTGAAATTACTTTACTGATCTCTGCTACCTTCTGGCCCTTTATGAAAGAAGGGGAGGACTGTTTAAAATATTGATCTCTGGGGCTTTTCCCCCATTACTTCTGACTCTATATTCCCCACTAATTATACCATGTCAAGTTGAGTTTTATATTAGATGTGAGAGAAAAAAAGTCGGGATGTGAAACTATACACACGGCATACGATTTTATAAAATACCAAGACTGGAAAGGAACAGATCAAAATATTAAAGGGAGTTATCTGGCTGGGGGATTATGGGTAATTTTTAAAGCTATTTGTATTCAATTGTCCTTTTCAGGTTTTACACAATGAGTATTGCTATAGACTGAATGTGTCCCATCCAGAATTCATAGTTATGACCTAATGCCCAATGTGATCGTATTTGGTGGCAGGGCCTTTGGGGAGTGATGAGGTTGTGGGGGTGGGGCCCTCATGAATGGACTGGTGCCCTTATAAGACCCCAGAGAGCTCCTTTGTCCCTTCCACCAGGTGAGGACACATGAACCAGGAAGCAGGCCCTCCCCAGACGCTAAATCTGCCAGTGCCTTGTTCTTGCATTTCCAGCCATCAGAACTATGAAAAGCACATTTGCTTATAAGCTACCCGGTGTATGGCATGCTGTTACAGCAGCTTGAGTGGACTAAGACACATATGCATTTCTTTTGAAATCAGAACACAAAATACTTTACAATGGCAGAGTCATTACAGAAACTAAGCCGACAGATTTCCATATAGGAGAGAAGACAAACAAAAAACCCAAACAAAAAACCCAGACTCTAAAATAAAACAAAGACCAACCCAATGAAAAAGAATTCTGGCACATTTTTAAAGCATTTAGAAATTTCTTTGTGTCAACGTACGTACAGTTTCAATGACTATAGTAGCTGAGAAGGTCTTCTCATTGATGGATTCTAAGATGCCTTCATTCCCTCTGTAGCCTCCATTTAAAACGAGAATTCTTTTTCCTACAGTAGAAAAGAGTATCACACTGAATGCAAAGAAATGTTCACTTTTTTCTTCTACTTTGTTAGAGCAAAGTGCAGCTACACTGAATGAACATAACGAAAACCAAAACCCCTCTTAGAAGTTCTTCATCATTTTAGAACTCTGTAATATTCTAAAGGAGAGTTTATAGATGCCTTGATCACTGTTAACATTCTAAGAATCCTCATGGTTTTTTTCACTTACTTGTCAAAGGGATACATTTTAACTTAGATTGCAAGTAGAAGGTACTTAGGGGAAATGTCTACAGTCCAGAAATAATCAGAAAAAATTTTAGCTTACTTTGGCTTTTTTTTTTTTTTTAAGAGATGGCGGGTGTGTGAGCAGAGGGGGAGGTGCAGAGGGAGAGAGAGAGAATCTTAAGCAGGCTCCACGCTCAGGCGGAGCCTGACATAGGGTTTGATCTCAGAACCCTGAGATCATGACCTGAGCTGAAATCAAGAGACAGACACTTAACCAACTGAGCCACCCAGGTGCTCCACTTTGCCTCATTTTAAAAATCATAGGATTGGGGTGCCTGGGTGGCTCAGTCGTTGGGAGTCTGCCTTCGGCTCGGGGAGCCTACTTCTCCTTCTCCAACTCCCCCTGCTTGTGTTCCTGCTCTCACTATCGCTCTCTCTGTCAAATAAATAAATAAAATCTTTTAAAAATAAATAAATAAATAAAAAATAAAAATCATAGGATGGTTTGGCAGTTTCATAAAAATTTAAACATATCCCACTATGAGTGAACTATTCTACTTCTAAGTATTTTCCCAATAGAAAAGAAACCATATGTCCATATAAAGACTTGCATATGAATGTTCTTGGAAGTTTTATTTGCAGCAACCAAAAAACTGTGACCAACTGAAATGTCTATCAAAAGGTGACTGAATAAACAAAAAGTGGTACATCCATATAGTCAAACACTACTTAGTAATAGAAAGAAGTGAGCTGTGTATACACTTGACAACATGCATGAACCCAAAATAATTATGCTTAATGAGAGATGCCAGACCAAAAAACAGGACACGTGGTATGATTTCATTCATATAAACTTCTAAACAGGAACTCTTCTGTAGTGATGGAAAGCAGACAAGTGGTTGCCTCGGGGTACATGGTAAGCAGGAGTGGAGGGGTGGCGGGGAAGAATTATAAAGGAAAGTGATAAAACTTTGGGGGGTGATGGGTACATTCATGATCTCGATTATAGGGATGGTTTCAAGACAGTATTCACGGGTTAAAATGGATCAAACTGTATACTTTATATGAGTGCAGCTTACTGTGTGTCAATCACATCTCACTAAAGCTGAAAAAAAATTTTAAGCCATAAAGTGAGTTTTGTTTTAGGGGGAAAGCATAAAGGATCCGATAAGCGGAAGTTTTAGAGTCTAACATCGCTGTGCTAGCAAGGATAGTATTGTGAAGTCTGGGTCAGAGGCGAACAACTTAGGCATAGCAGCATTCATGCTAGATATTCGGAAGTACTCAAATGATAGAGACAATTAAGGAAAAGAAAAAGCAAAACAATACAGACTTTTACTTTACTATCTCAGGTAGCTAGAGAAATATATTAATAATAACTGTAGTACGATTAATTTTTTTTTCCTTGTGAGTTTGTTTTGTTTCAGAAAAAAAAAAAAAGAAGAATCCCAGAAAGGGAAAATTGATTCAGCCACAAAATAGCTTTCACAGAGGACTGGTAAACAAACTATCGTGTCACCTGAAATGAAGCGTATCAGTTACACCAGCAGCTATATATTTCTAGAATGGAAATCTGGGTCTGTAACTATCAAGTAATGTCAAGAAACTATGGTTTTAAGGCTGGGATCACTCATTTCGATAGCATACACATTAAACGGTCTGCAAAAAGATTTACCTGGTGCTGGAATTACTGTTTCTAAATGAGTCTGGTCAAGTTTCAGCTTGTCTCCTGAGTCAATCATCTTTACAACAGCTGTATATTTGTCAATTACTTCCTGTCATGTGAAATCAACACTTTTATAATAGCAGAAATAAGTGCACACAAATTTCAAAGGACAGAAATAGATAAGATGAAAACAAATGAAATTCCAGTCAAAAGGTAAGTGCTGTAACTCCTTCTATAAATGACACTATTTTATAGATTCCATATACGACTATTCATTCTAGGCTTCTTTTTAATTTTTTAAAAATTTTATTACGTTTTTAATTCCAGTAGAGTTCACAAACGATATTACGTTAGTTTCACGTGTACAATATAGTGGTTCTATGCTTCCTAATAAAGAATTCAATTCAAGGCTTAGTGAAGGTTTTCGTCTGGAGAGAATAAAGGACTGGTTGGTGATCTTAGACTACGACTTCAACAAATACAGTGAGAAGAAGAATGCCTAGCTTCAAGTACAATAGAAGGGCATTTCTGCATGCACAATGCTGGGTTCCAGAATGAAACTATTTAGCAACGGCAAAGAGAGAAAAGGACTGGAGCGTCGACCTTTAACTTTTAAAATCCTAGAACAACTAAAAGTTTCTCGGGCAAAACACAACAAGGAAGTCCTCCTTAGAACTCTGGGGACATAGTTGTCTTGCCCATCATTAACAAAGAGGATGTGTCTCACTGATTGGCAAGGCACGCAGAGCAAGCGAGTTTAAGCTGTGCCAGTGGGATTTCATACATGCTATCTGCCCCAGTAAGAAAGCACACCAAAGTGAAATAGAAACTATGGCCACAAAGGAATCATTTTCTCACAAATTATGAATTCAGCTTTCTTTTTATGGAACCATCAAGATCCTGAGACACAATGTTCCTGCCCCGAGGACGTGATTTTTCAGGAATATCAAAATGGCTTGACTCGGCCAGGCCCAGCTCCTTCCACAAATTCCATTCACAGCCTCCCGTCCTTACCTTCACAACACCCTTTTTCTTATGATATTTCTCTCCGAGTTTTTTGGTTATAATTTTCACGATGATTTCCTAGAAAATAACAACAAAAAAATAAAGATGAAAGGGAACACATAAGTTAGCTTTCTGGTTTTTCTCCTTCGCTTTAAACCATGTTCACCAAAAATCATAGCAAAACGTAACTGCTCTGCTAAATAAGAAATTTTGGAGTTCTAAGCCTTCCCAATTATGCAAAACATTCCCTTAGTGATCTTTTATTTCTTCTTTCTCTCTTTATTCAACATGGTTACCAAGAGGTAAAAAAAATACCTGTCTCAAGGCTGATTTCCACACTGAAGGTCTCTTGAAATCTAGGACTTTTATCTGTCAATCTCAACCCTATTAATCCATGTCTTTCACAGATAGCTTCTTTCTCTCTCTCCATTCAAGGAAATGAAAAGGGCCAAAGATATTACAGTGTTGGTGTTCACTGCTGATAAAACCTCAGATGGCAGGTCTCACTGGGAATTGCAAGGAACTGAGTCTTTGAGCTTATGCATGACATTTTTCACAGTGTTATTTTCTCATTAGGTTACTCTGAATTTTTGATACAGACAGGATTCTTCAAGATTAGCTCCAGCTAAAAGTATCATTATTCTGAACATCTAATTCTCAAATGGGAGAGAAATCTGGGCTTATTTCATATTAATGCATTTTGAGTTTGCTTCTTTATCATCATTTTCCTGATTTAGATTAGCTGTCTAGTGGCTGATCATGAAAATTCATTCTTCTGACTTAATGCTATAATCACTGTAGTGATTCTGTATTTGCTACTTCAAGTGAATGTAACAGAGGTACTAGATGGTCACAAGTAAGCCAGGCTAAAAATTTTATTAATCAAAATTCAATAAGGACTTTGTAGGGAGGATATATTATAGCAGAAAAACACGTTTAAGAGAAAACGTGAATGGTCTTATTCTTAGGCCTCTATTCTAAGAATCTAAGACTTTCTAAATGAAGCCAAGTAATGCCAAAACAGCTTCTCTGATTTAGCCAGAGTATTTCTGGGCTAAATTTCTCAAAGACCCTCATGGGTACACACTTAAAATTTGAAGCTAACTCATTACATCATTGGGCTTACTGACACTTGCTCACGCAATAGAACGGTTCAAAATACTTCTTTTCTGAGTTTAAATAAAGCTCTCCAGTCTATCTGTGTGGACTGCTGGTTATTTTAACAAACATATTGACCATTTCAACATAAGAGACACACTGAGTCATCAGAGCACTGTTGGATGATCCTCACTTTTAACGTAATACTCTGTTAGTAGGGAACTAGGAAAAACATTTGAATAATTTATTATAAGAGAGAATTATCAAACAGAAAATATAATTGAACTGAAAGTATTACCAGTGGGAAGAAAATTTTTGGACTAAAACTTGGAATGCTTTCTCTTTTTTTCTTTTGGTTTCTTTTTCCTTTAAACCAATGAAGGGCATACACCAGAATCACCTAGGAGGCTGGTCAAAATGTGCATTTCACTGCAGGAGACTGGAAAGTGGTAGTAGTAAACATATATAATCTGGAAAAAACACTTCTCTAAAAATCTGTGAATTACTCTCTGGGTAAGAACGAATGCTTTCAGCAAAATTCTTGATTACGTTTTCATAAACAATAATCAAACTATTAATATTTACGCTAGCTACTGGAATGGAGAAAACGAAACAATACAGGGGTGGTTTCTTCCCTTCAGGTCCAGCCTTTACTGATCTTGACTCAACCTGTACTCAGAGACGGGGAGTCAGGGCGCCTGAGACACCCCAGGATGCAGGTCTGTTGACCAGCTGAGAGCACAACCTACTGAATCAGATTGCCAGGGAGATCCTGGCTCAGGGCTTACTCTATGACCTTGGGGAAATTACTCAAATGCTTGATGCCTCAGTTTTCTCACCTCTACAATGGGAATTACAACAGGAATTACCTTATAGGGCTGATAGAAGAATTCGTTGAAGTAGTTCATACAAAGGACTCATTTGCGATGTAAAGCAGCAAGTATTTTCATGTTAGCTAACCTGCTTCCTGAGCCTTCACTTGGGCACCATGTAGAAATGCCTCCCATGCAGAAGACCACAAACTAAGACATGGAAATGAAATTGTTTTCCTGCTTAGAGGGAGCAGGACTCTGAAGATCTGAATGAGAACTCTGGACTTCATGACCTTCTAGGTTATTGTTAATCTTACTTTTTGCATCAAAATTATCTAAATGACACATATTCTCACTACTTTTCAGTCTCCTATTATTGATCAAACCAGCTTCTTTTAGAAGCTTTAACAAACGCACCCTGAGCGTCTTGCGAAAACTTTACATCTAGGTTCAAAACAGAGCATCAATAAATAATAATGTTTAAAATTATTTAACTGTTTAAAAATTATTATCTTAAAATAACAGCAATAATAAATATACAATAAAATACAAAGCTCTACTTGAGCTTGTAAAATTAAAACCGGCTTTTTCCGACAAAGTACCTAAAGGGAGATTCTAAGTTCAATAAGCTGTAAGTTGAAAACAAGTGCTTCGGCATTCACAATTCTACCTTTCAGTCCCGTTTCTGAAAACACAACCCTTGTCTTATAGCAAAATTGGAAATAACTACAGGCTTAAATTCAAGATGTCCACAAACGAATCTGGCATTAAACTCAAGAAATCTTACCAGCCTACAAACGTGAAGTAACTCTCCAATACAGATGCAGCTGATCATTTAAGATCAGATGAAAAGAAAAGTCATGAATGTTATAGATCTATCCGTATGATTTAAGTATATTTGAGAAATTCAGTCATTTATACCAAATGTTCTTTACACGATTCACTTTTTTAAAAGCATTCAGGAAATAAGAAGCTTCAACTCAATACGTACAGGCTGTAGCCAGTGGTCTGTTCGGGCAGTTCTTTTCTTTTCCTCTTCGATCTGTAGCACACAGAAGATACAGAATTCTCTCTTTAAAATCCTCAATTTATTTCAAATACCATTCTGTGTAGCAAATGAACACCATAAAACATATACCTCAAAGGCGATCCGTGTAATTTACAAGCTCTGACAAATACAAATAAACATTTTTTGCAATTAATTTTTAATTAAAAGAAAAAAAAAACCCACTTGGTGGGGGGGGTGGCACACCTGGCTGGCTCAGTTGGTGGAGCATGCAATTCTTGATCTTGGGGTTGTGGGTTCGAGCCCCACACTGGGTGCTGAGACTACTTAAAGATAAAATCTTTAAAAAAAAAACCACACACACACATACTTGGATGTACAAAAATATGTGATAAAGCACGTCAACTGGCCAAGAAAATAAACACAAGCGACCTCTACTTAGTCAAGACTGCAAGGCCATATGCCAACGCCATATCGCCGTTTCCCCACTTCCCTTGTGTGCCTGTCACAAGCTGGGAAACAAGCAACATGTTCATGTGGTAAAAACACAACACTTCAAACCAATTTTGCGCAGCACGGTTAGTCCTACAGTGATGGCCAAAAGGGGCTTCTCTGTATGATAAGGATAATAAATCTTGTGAATGTAGGGCAAGAAAAACATAACCACGAGAGATGTAAGCACAAGGGTGTCCAAACAAAGAGTGCTGAAGAGCCACATTGTGCCTTTTTCTTTCTCGATGGCTGTAAGTGAACCTGAAGTCCCAACTTTCAGTGGGACAGGATGCTGCAATTCTTTGGTTGATAATAAATTCCATTTTAATATCTCCAACTCTCCAGTATTAACAAAGAACATTCTAAATTTAGCAGGTTTTACAAGGCAAGTAGGTCTGGCTTCCCATTTTACTTTGAATTAGATTCAGGAACCTCCTGTCATGGACTACTGAGACGTCTAAGATGTTGCTCCAACTTCTCTCTCAAACTGCAAATGCTACCACTCTTGCACTCACCATTCTCCAGCCACATGGACCTTTCCTTCAGGTGCCTGAATTCAAGGTCTTTCCTGCCTTGACACCTTTTCACAAGCTACCCCCCATGGCCCGCCCTCAGACTGCCTTAGCACTTAGCGTTTTGTAATAACTTACTCACTCGTTCACTTGTTCATGAACTGTCTCTCCTACTAGAGAGAAAGCCCCATGACACAGCGGGACTGTATTTTTCTCCCTACTACACAGACACAGGACCTCGCACGATGCCCAGCACACAACAGCGACTCAGTATACGCTCAGTGATGGAGCAACCACATCTCTTAGTGTACACATTTTATATTACACTCTCAACTGTTTAGACCGCCCTGTATCGTAAGAGCACCCAGAAATGGGGAAGACCAAACAGTTGTCTCTATCCCTTCACAAATAAAGAGGAAGGTTGGGGAGATTAGAGGAAATGATATTACAGGAAAAAACAAGTCAGCTTCTTCTATCCATTTCTTCTTTCTCTTCACCTGTCCTTCTTCTCCTTTCTACTTACTTCATAAATGTATTGATAAGGTAAGGTTATGTGTGGAAAGGGAAAGAGGAAGATTCAGAACAGCTCTAGAGGTGCAAGTAGATTTAGAGCCAAAGTGTGGTCCTCAATCTTAAATCACGGGTTTTCAAGGATTCATCACATAGGCTTAGCCATTAGGTAAAGTCAAATGAAAACAACGTCATCGCTTCCTGCTGCTGGCTAGGAGGTGGTAAGTGAAGTCAGAGGCAAGAGGAGAACAGAGGCTGGTGGGAGGAATCCACGGAGGATGACAATTTTACAGAGCCACAGAAGGGAAACAGAGCTTTTGTTTTTAGCTGCAGTGACCACCCAGGTCCTTTTGATTGAATTCCACTGACCATGAACACATGGAGAGTTCTGAACACAGCACCTGAGGCACGAAAATAAACTTGTGATGAGGGATTCCAACTCTACCCAGATGGAACTGCGTCCAGACTACCTTCCCCTAACCTAGTCTGCATACATTTTCTGACTTTATATTAATCCAAGAATTGGTGAGACTAAACTTTCCTTAGTTTGAATTATGTCATTCCTCTAACTGCTAACACATCGATAAGCAGCTCGTAAACTATACCTCCATGATTTCGTCAAGGGCAGATTTCTTTTTTTTCTTTTCTTTTGATTGAGCTGAGCTCCGGGAAGATTCTTTTCTTTTAACTGATGCTGCATTTCCAATGGTATTCAATGCGCTTGGTCCCAAGGAACTGGTAAAAAGAAAAGCCATGCTTGTTAACAAAACCAATGCACAGAAGAAGGCTTTCTAACGTGCAGAACAGTACAGAAGAAATTTGTTACATGATTAATTTACAACAGATTAGTCAAAACAACAGAGGACCTAGGACCTAAGCAGCATGAGAACATGTAACCATTCCCTCCTTAACGCCCTCTTCCCTCTCCTCACCCCTTCACTTAGTGCCAACCATGATCAGCACAGACCAGTGGGGTGCCGGCTTCGGGGTTAGGCAGATCAGGGGCTAAGGAGGCTTCTGCTTCTGACCTTGGGTGATTCACTTTTCTAAGCTTCAGTTTCTCATCTATTAATGAGGATAACAGTGTGAGCCAACTCAGAGCTCAATTGCAAGGATTAAATAAGAGGTTGGCAAAGAAGTCTAGCAATTACTGTCAGTTCTATTTTTTGAAAGCAATCTGAACATGTCACCTAATTTCTGATCGTTCCTAACTGCCTAGAATTGACAGTGTAAATTCTACTTTTTTAGTGTGGTATAAAATTGTCACCACTGGCCCAAGAATATTATCTCTGACTTACTGTATACACCAGCCATTCTGAATAACTCGTTACTGACTGAGCCATGCCATGTTTCATGCCTTTGCAAACTGCCTCTTTTATACCTAGTGCAATCTCTATTTGTTCCAATTAGAACAAATATCTATCTCTATTTGTTCCAATTCTTTAAGATCCATTCTTCATGAGGGTTTGAACTGCCATAGCACTTTCTAGCTTGTATCATACGCCACCTTGTATTATAATCATTTGCATATATGATTTGTACATATAATAATGGGTATATATTTGTATATACTTATTTTTTTCCTGTAAAGAGAGTTGCTATCTTGTGACTCACATAAAATACATGCTCAGTTAATATCTCAATGAATCTTACCAGTGTAATCATTTAGTTTGTCATATTTGCAAAAGACAAACAAAGGATAAATACATGCACAAAGCTACCATGAAGATAACCAAGGAAAAAGGTGTGATTAACAGAAAAACAACAGAATTATTATTCAGGCTTTTATTTTTCAGGGGAGAAAGCATGAGTGGAGGGGGTGGAGCAGGGGCAGAGGGAGAGAGACGGAGCAGAAGTGGGGGAGCGGCAGGCAGAGGGAGAGAGAGAAGCAGGCTTCCCACGGAGCAGGGAGCCCGATACGGGGCTCGATCCCAGGACCCTGGGATCATGACCTGAGCCGAAGGCAGCTGCTTAACCGACTGAGCCACCCAGGCGCCCCCCCCCAACCACTACTTTTCTGTACAGGGGCCCCAGGTCAGGATTCCCCCACTCAGTCATCACGGCAGGTATTCTTCGTTCACCAAACTGTAACGTTTTACATTTACCCTTTTGAAAAATCACTTACTGGGTTTTGTCCCATAATTCAATCCTCTGAATAGATTTCTAAGTTCTGATTCTGTTTCTGGGACCCTTGCGCTCTGGTGGTGGGGATGTCAACTGGGGCAGCTGCTGTGGCAAATAGCGAGGCAGAACTATCATACAACCCGGCACCTCCGCTGCTGGTTCTCCATCCAAAGGGACTGAAAGCAGGGACCCAAACAGGTATCTGAACACCAATGTTCAGAAAAGCATGGTTCATGAACGCCCAGAGGTGGGAGTGACTCGAATGCCCAATGACTGATGAAGAGATGAAGCAAATGTGGTGCATACATACAAAAGGATATTATTCAGCCTTAGAAAGGAAGGAAATTCCAACACGTGCCGCATCATGGATGAACCCTGAAGACATTAAAGCGGGTGAAAGAAGCCAGGCACAACAGGGCAATCGCTGTAGACTTCTTCTCCTATGAGGAGCCTAGAATAGTCCAATCCACAGAGACAGAAAGCAGAATAGAGGCTACTGGGGGCTGGGGGCTACCGGGAAATGGGGAAGCAAGCATTTAATGGGGACAGAGTTTCAGTTTGGGCTGATGAGAAAGCCCGGGAGATGGATACCGGTGACGGCTGCACACGTGACATGAATCGCCCGAACTGTATGCTTAAAAATGGTGAAAATGGTCAACTTTATGTTATATGTATGTCACCGCACAAAAAAACTAAACTGAAGAGAAAGAAAGTTTCCTATCAAGAACATTTATTTGGCCTTATTAAATGTCTACAGCATGACAAGCAATGGTGATAAAAACACAAACAGAACAGCCCATCGGGATCTCACGACAAGGTGGGAGAACAGACCCAGAAGTGCATTCCGGGAAGTAAGGACAGAAGATGTAAAGGCAAGAAAGGGTGAGCCACCGTGGCTCACTTAGGATGGGGCAAATAATTTAGCATAGCTGGAGGGCAAGGGGCGGGAGAGGCACCGGATCAGTAGCATGGACAAAAATGACGTTATCCCGCAGGTGAAAGAAAGACATTTAGAAAGATCTTCCTGCTTGCAATATCACCATTCTATTAGAGCTAAAATGAATAAGGAAGAATATAAGAAATGTTGACAGAAGAAATTATGAAGGACAGAAGTCAGTAACACAGAACCCAAAGAAATGAATTTCAAGAAAACAAAAAGTTGGTATTCTAAAAGATTAACAAAATAGCAAATTTGAGAGCCTAGGTAAAAAGAATATTCTAGAAAAATCAAAATTATACAAATTATTGAAATTTGTATGATCAAGATTATATTGAGAAGTTGAATAAACTAATGACCATAATGAAACTGAATCAGTAGTAAAAAAGTATTCCCTCACCTGTAAAAGATACTAGCACAATATTTTACCAAATTTTACCAAGCTTTCAGTGATAATCCCTATCCTAAAAACACTAGTCAAAAAAGAATACCTATACAAATCATTTTAAGAGTAGAAACTTAAATATCAATCTCAATAATGAACATTAAAGTAAAATGCAAAACAAAATAGTCTGTTTTTTTCAGCTGTGTATTATTAATTAATTAATTTCAGCTGTGTATTATTATTAATTAATTAATTTACTTTTTTAGAGAGCGAGCACCCCCCAGTGCATGAGCACACAGAGGGGGAGAGGCAGAGGGAGAGGGAGAGAGAATCTCAAGCAGACTCCCGATCAAGTGGAGAGGCTGATGCGGGGCTCAGTCTCACGGCCCTGATATCATGAGCTGAGCTAAAATCAAGAGTCGGACGCTTAGCCAACCAAGCCGCCCAGGCGCCCCAGCTGTGCACTGTATTTGATCTTACACTGCCTGCTCTAACAGTAACACCCCTCCTCCCCAAAGACGCTATTGGAGGCTGACAAATTGAGATGGGGCAAGATGGGACTCAAATCAAGGCAAAAAATGAACGGGAACAGACTGGAAATGGAACGTTTGCTTCTAGAACAGCCCTAGATTTCTGCTTTCAGTAACTGGAGTGAGTCCTAACGCAATTAAAGAAGAGAAGCCCCAAAAGAGAAATGGAAACTGAGTAACCTCTGTTCAAACACTGGAGAAGCAGGGCTTATCTTTGTGCCTCCATATAATCTAAAGTATCAATTTTTTATATCTAGATCCTTTTGTTCATTCTAAGTTTCAGATATACAAGAGATATAAATCAACAGGAAAATAAATCTCAAACTCTATAAAAATGGACCATAATCTCAGAAAAAGAAAATTTAGATGAGTCTTTCCATTGTATTATTTGAGACACTATATATGAGTTATTAATACTCGAGACTGAACTCACAGAACTTAGTCAAATAAAACTATTTTTACTAGTAACATCAGAGCTTGGCATCGGGCTATAGAAGGCTAACTAGCAGACCCGAGATAACAGGTCCTCATCCTTGGAGTTAATAAATGTTACCTTATTTGGAACAGGGTCTCTGCAAATGAGATTAAGTTATAGATTCTGAGATGAGATTATCCTGGGTTGCCTGAGCAGGCTCTCTATGGAACCACATACATCCTTTTACGTGAAGACGGAGCAAAGAGAAATGTGAAGACACTGCTTCTGAAACTGAAGGATGCAGCCACAAGCTAAAGAACTCCAGAAGCCACCAGAAGCTGGGCAAGGCAAAGACCGGATTCCCCCCAGAGCCTCCAGAGGAAGTGCCGCCCTGCATGCGGCCTGATTTTGGCTCAGGGATACTGACTTCAGACTTCTGGCCTCCAGAGAAAGAACACATTTCTGTTGTTTCAAGACACTTGGTTTGGGGTGCCTGGATGGCTCAGTCAGTTAAGCATCTGCCTTTGGCTCAGGTCATGATCCCAGGGTCCTGGGATC